GCCCCAGCCTCTCTCTGCAAGGCGAGGATGGCAGGTCTCTGCACCATCATGTCCTGCTATCCCTGGGAGTGAGAGCTGGGCCAGGAATGCACCCATGCCCCTGTGCTGTATATAGTATGGGTGTGTGGGGGGGAAAGGAAGATGTGCCCTGCCTCTGCATAGAGGGGGCTTCTGGAGGGAGGGCATTGTGCAGTGTCCCTCCCAGGGGTCAGGAGCATGTCATGTGCTTTCATACATACATGTGTGTGGATAACAGGCCAGGGTCCCTGTGTGGCTGCCAGCCGGAGCCACATGCCCCGGCGGTTGCTGCGTACTCCATGGTTAGCAAGGCCCACATGCGTGGTCTCTGGTCTCCCTCTCCCCCTCCTCCGCCCCGCCCCACATAAGGAGACAGTGATGGCACTCACATGTCGAGGTCTCCCTGGCCTCGGAAGACAGCGGTGACATGGCTGCTGTGACAGCTCAGGGGTCCTGGGCGAGTGCCATGCTCCCTCCAGGCTCCTGCGACTGCTGACTGTCGTCCTCCTCCTCCTCTGTGCCCCGGTCAGGGCCCTCTGTCCCAAAGTCGATGACCAACTGGGGGGCACGGACTGTCTGGTCCCCCAGGATGCGGTCCAGGGCGTCAAAATAGGGTAAGAGGTCTGGGTCTGTCCCTGGTTGGGAGCTGCCCCGTGGCCCTGGCATAGGCCTGCCTCAGCTTCTTTATTTTCATGTGCACCTATTCCTGGGTGTTCATGTGGCCTTTGGTGGCCAGGCTGTCAGCCATCTGCCTGTAGACAGCTGTATTCCTGCGTCTAGTGCAGAGATCATTGACATTGGAGCAGGGGTTCCCAAACTTTTTGACATGGGGCCAGTAAATCCATTCACGAACTTTTGGAGGACCGGTAATGTTAATTTGCATATTCATTAATCAAATAATGAATATTAAAATAAGTTGTTTCTGGTCCTCCCAAAACTCCCAGTGCCAGCTTTAGCAAAGCTTTTGATATGGTCACCCACAATATTCTTGCCAGCAAGTTAAGGAATATGGATTGGATAAATGGACTGTAAGACAGACAGAAAGCCGGTTAGACCAGAGTTTCCCAAACTTTTTACTTTAGTTGGAACCCTTTTTTTTCAATACTGCTTTTTGCAGCCCAAAAATATAAACACATAAAAAACAAACTGAGAAAATACCAGACATATAACATGTCTGGTATTATGTCTGGTATTTTCTCATTAGGTAAGTTGTATTATTACTAGATGTATCAGTTTGTAGTTTCGATCTGCCTGGCTGGTAAATGTGCTCAGGCTGCATGAGTGTGTCTACCAGCCAGACAGTTCGCAATTACTCAAGGGGTGTATGTGTGGAGGGGGGACAATAGAATCCCCGGGCTGGACTAACTCATGCTTTGTGGTGGGGAGGGGGGAACTGGGGCAGCGTCCCAAGATCTACATATGGCCGGGTTAGTCCCACTCCCCGCAGGCCGATTCATTCCTCCCCCCTGCTCCCCCTGCTGCGCCTCTGGCCAGCCCCACTTCCCCCAACTCCCTCCCGGGCAGCCAGGTCCCCCCTGCTTCTCCTCCCAATCTCCCTTGGCCAGCCCCGTTGCCCGCATCCCGCCCT